AAGAGAAGGGAGGGATTATACCTGATCCAGAGAAGCAGTATCTCCCAAAGTTGGTGTTCACGCCCAAAGAAGATCCCAAGATCAGCTCCCACTGAAGATGACACAGTGATGATGGAGCCGAACCAGCAGTGTTCGTCCCATGAACCAGGTTCTTCTGAAGAACTCGATGGAAGAGTGTGAGCACCACACGAACAATCAACCATGTTTCTTGATCTTCTCGAACTGGCAGAAAAAGGGTGGCGGCGGCGGCTGCTGGAGGAGGAAGCTAGAGAATGTGGTGAACTGCTATTTTTTTCTCTAGAGCTGTCTGAGATCCTATCTCAAATTGCAGAGCTATCTGCTGAAAACTCCTAGGGTTCGAATTCAAGTAATTCAAATTTATGGTTTTCCTCCTCTTTCTTAATGATTAAGAAACCCTCCTAATCATATCAGGAGTTGCCCTTATCCAAATCTGTATTTGGATTAGGACTCTTTTTAATCTTATCTGCAGATTAGATTAGCTTTAGGGCTCATCCTAATCTCAGATCCACCCCCTTAATAGACTGATCAAATCAGCCCAGATCGAAATGGGCTTTAGGCCCATTAAGTAATAAGTGCTCAATAGTCTTCCAAACTACTGCCCAGTTGGGCTTCTTTGTATGGCRTGGGACCCAAGCATTGATCTACACACCAGCCACATGGGTTCGGCCCAACCTTTGTTACAAGACCTAGCCGAATTCACTAGGAAGCCCAGTGAACCTCTTGAACCCATCACATGGACCCTATAGGCCCAATACTTACACTAAGTAGTCCCTGGGCCAAGCCATCTTATAAAAACCCAAGGACTGTGGGAAGATGCAAGATTAGCCCATCAGGTATTATCCTAAATGGCCTTACACTTAACCTCTCAGCCCATAATGGTCAAGCACTGCCCGACAAGAGAGGACCCATCCTTTCTTACTGTCTATGTTCCTTTCTATAATGGGCCTTATTCTGGACCCATCCTTCCTATGTTATGTTCTTTGTAATTTCTTGCCCAACTAAGGGTCCCCCTTGTAATTATTTAAATTTAACATAATAAAATAGTGTTAGGGTGTTAGAGTGAGAGTATGTTCGAAGATCTCATACTCTAAACCCTCATTGCCATACTCTCAAGGTCTGTTTTCTTCTTGGTATCAGAGCAGGCCTGAACTTGGCTTAGGCTCTCATGTGGGTGTAGTCCAACCGACTGCTTCTAGGGCTGGAAGCTTCAGCTCGTGTTACCTGATTCTTGAAGGTCATTGGAAGGTGCCCAAGACTCAAATCTCTTGGAAAAGTGGTTTGGTGACCAGGAAGAATTAGAAAAAAAAAAAGGGGGAAACAGTTTGGTTTCTGATTTGAAGCTTAAATATTGTAAGTTGTGCTCAGATTTCTGAGTTATTTTTTTTTCTCTGTTTTTGGACTGTTGAAGTGTCTGAAATTTCCTTGAAAACTGCACGGCTATTCGACTGTTTGGACTGTCAAGCTACTGAAACATCCTTGGATTCAGTGCTGCGAATTGTTGCTTCTATTTGGCTGTTTTTAGGGCCTATACGGATTGTTCCTGAGGCTTTTTTCTCACCTTTGACAGTGGGGTCTTCTCTACTGCCCACACTGTGTTTGTAAAAAGGCCTCTTCATCAATACAAACTGGTATTTACTCTCTTTGGGTACCTTTTGGTGATTACCTAGAAGTCCCTGATTAGAAAAGGAACTTCGATTGGGTGCACAGTGCTTAGAAGTTTTATGATTACTTCTTGAAGGCCGAACCAAGTTGTTTTTAGTGTCTCGTGTAGACGACAAGGTGCTGCTTCAGACTTGATTCTTACAGCTTCCGGGTGTGGTTTGGCCTTGTGTATTGCTGTCTTGAGGTTGGTTGAACTCAGTCCTAGCTCATCCTCATTCAATACACTTGTAGAAGTCATCTGAAATCCTATTTGAAGTGTTTACATGATGGACTCCTCAGAGATTGAAAACAAGAATGCTGCTGAATATGGACAGGTTCAGGGGACTCCAGKTGATTCTTTATTGACTGTGACCACAGTTAAACTAGATGGAACTAATTATCTGGCATGGTCACAATCGGTAAAGATTTATATATGTAGTAGAGGAAAGTGGGGGTTTATT